AAAATAACACTGACATCTCATTTTAACAAATATATTTACCTAACTTACACAAAAATATCTTGGAATACTAAAGAGTGAATTCATTCAATAAAATCGCCATTATCTTCAACCATGGTCCCCAGACAACCTTGCAATCTCCTGCAACTCTTCTGGGTGGTCTCCTTGTTTAAGTTGGTGAATGCTGCCATAATCCTTGCCTTCAGTTCATGTGTTACAAAGAGTTTTGTTGGTCTCTCGCTCAAATGCGCTCCACACATAATAATAAAAGAGGTGAAGTCTGGGGAGTTAGGTGGCCAGATATTAAGGGTGATGTGGTCGCAGAAATTGCCCGACAGCCATGACTGAGTTCTCCTGCTTGTGTGTCATGGTGCAGATTCCTTTTACCAGACATGGGGTCTTCCAGCAGCCAACTTATTGAACCAGGGCAGCACTACTTCATCAAGGCACTTGATGTAGGCCTCCATGTTGAGTCTGGGGCCCCGTGGGAAGATGAATGGAGGCATAACGTCGTCATCACTAGTGATTACTTGAAACACCATGATGTTCACTGGATACATCATCCAACTCTTTACAAAGTCCTCTGCGGTGTTCTCAGATTGACACACAAATACTCTGAAATGTTCGCATTGGAGCTTCCGGCGCGAATGCCAAGCAGTACAGCATGCCGTTTCCAAATTTCTGACGAAGTGAATTGCGCCGTGGTGCTCTTTTTCTCACAGACGATGTCTAACTGACCCTACTATAATGTTCAGTCAAAAAATGAAAAATAAATAACGAGCAAGCACAAAATTTAAAATGGCGGCAATTTACCCATCACACCCTTTATGTGTATGTTTGTATCTATATATATATACAATCATCAACACACAGACTGTTTCAATGTATCACAGCTTATCGTTGTGGCTAGACATGCCATTGCTTCAAGCGGGGATCGAACCTCGACCGATTTGACAACAGTCGAAGTCGTCCACCCTTAGGCCATGAGCGCACACAGCGGAGAAAGGGAATTTTTAACGCATTATATACGAGATATGAGCATTCCCGGCTACCAGAGTGCTCAATTCATAGCGAATTGCCTTTAGAGTTAATTAGCAGCAGCTTTCTTCCAGAGTGCTCAACCTAATATATATATATATATATATATATATATATATATATATATATATATATATATATATATATATATATATGAAAAGGAAAAATTTTCTTCACCAATGCGTTTCGTACCTTGAGTTACTTTATCAAGGTAAATATGGATAGTTTATTTTGTAACTTGTATTTATACATAAAAGTAAATTCATATTACAAAATAAAGTCTCTTTTTCTTATTTCAGATACATGGATAATTCTCTATTAATATATCCACAAAACATAATTTTACCTTGTCAACAAACATAATATCGTCGAACCCACAATAGATTTTACCTTTAAATCTGAGTTTAGCAACACTCTAGCCCTCCTAGATATTTTGCATAGTTTGAGGTTTACAGAAAATCTACCAACAAGAATGACCTTATCAGTTATTCCCACCACTGAAACAAGATTAAATCTGGAATAATTATAGGATTCTATTTAAGAGCATTAATAATCTGTAGTCCCAACACTTACACAAAGAAGAAATATACACAAAAAACACTTTCGAAAACCTCCAATATCCTTATTATTTGATCCACAATGTTTGGAGAAAGGCATACAAAATATACAACCGCAAAAAGATAATAACATTATTAACAACAATAACAATGACAATAAACTATATAAATACAAATACACAGCACTACCTACTAAACCTGTAATATCCACTATCTAAAACAATTTGTTTAATCTTAATAATATCAAAATAATTACAACCACATCCCAAAATATTATGGATATGATCAGAAACCAAAATACTCTAACAATAATAATTCAGAAGCAGGTATATATAAAATAAACTGCCAGAATTGCTCCTCACAATGGATTGGGGAAACTTACAGAAATTAAAAAATACGTATGTATGAACATAAAAGGGATCTTACAGACAACAATTTATCAAAGGCATTAGTTATATATAGAAATAAATTCAAAACTATCTTTGATCTAAAGAATGCCACACTTATTAAAAGACAAAGTAATTTTCTTATAAAATCTTATCAAAATATAAATCTGCGTCTAGGATTTTTTTCAAATATCTCTATTTCTGAGTGAATTACTACTTTCCAAAGTCAATATACATGACTATAAAATATTAAATATATAACGCATAAATTAATCCCAAACTTAAATAATTTAGATATTGCATAAAAATCTTAAAAATATCTCTTACTCATTTAGACATTAAATTATGCCACTTAGCGCCCTCCATAATGCACCTAGATTTTTCACCTAACCTGATGAATATTCATGAGCGTTTGTTAAATTTAAAATTTTTTAAAAAGTAATATTTTAACTCTTGTCTATGAATACATGTTACAAAATGCCTTGATAAAATCCCTTCGAGAACGAAACGCGTCAGCTAAGATAAGTTTCCCTTTTGTCATTATTCATATTGTCCTTTTACATATATAGTTTATCTGAAAGATTTTACACATGCACAATCACACACACGCATATATATATATATATATATATATATATATATATATATATATATATATATATATAATTAATGAAAAAACAGACCACTTTAAGGTACCATTACAATAATTTATTTCACCAAAATCCTTTTTAAAGGACTCCGGATCATCAGGTAACACTTCCAACAACGAAATGAAAGGAAAAATGGGATTAGAAATTGATGGGTAGTGTGTAATTTAACAGGGAGAGTGATAGTTGTAGTTAACGAGACAAGGTAGCGTATAGGGAGGGGTTAATTTCATATTTCTCTTAAGCATGTTTTATATTGGGGTAGGAGGAGTGACTGAACCGTGACCTATTTAGATGGTTAACTTAACGGAAATGATATAGGAATGGGAGGGTAGTGGGAGGAAAAGAAAAGGAAAAATGGAAAGGAGAGAGGAGACAGGCAACAGTAATACAGATATATCTAAATGAGTGTTACGGCAAATATATATATATATATCCAGGTGAGATAAGGACAAATGGACTGTAATTCCACTCTCCGTATCATTTAATTCAAAAGAGGGCTCAATACGGAGTAGAGCTAAATATTAGTCTTATGCAGAGATGATGGTCTCATGGCAGTAAAAAATTCTACTAAAATTAAGGTTGACTAATTAAGGAAAATGATCCATAGTGGCATTAGATCTTGTTAATATTGGCAATACCGCAAATGATTTAACAGAAACATCAGAGAAATTACAGCAGAAAGTTTGTATATGAGGAGGTGCAGACTAGGAAAAGAACCAGTCTTCAGTTAATCATAAGGATTATATGGCAAGCATCTTTTGTTGGTGGCACCCGCTCGCTTCCAAGCGTTGGGATCGTCATCTTCTCTCCCTATTCCTTTCCTATCTCCTGGTGGTTGTGGCGAAGATGCCTGTGAATCAAAACGAGGCCATTCGTATAAATTTGATTTTGGTAGACAACTCTGTGCGACGGAGAAGTCGACACACTTGGTCAGAAGCGCCTCCCTCGTGGCTCAAAAGGTATTGAAACGGGCGAGATCTGGGAAAGCTGGTTACATCGGTCTGTTGGATCCTCGGTCTGTCAAGGACCGTCTTGGATACTTCAGCCCGACTGGCGCTTCCCTCTTCCACTGGTTTGGCCGTTGAGACCTTGTAGATCTTTGCCTATTCCGCCGTTCGGGACAAACATCTTTGTAACAGGGTTAAAGTATTGAAGAAACTTAATGTCACCTGTCTTGACCTGGCATATAGAGATAAATACTATATGGAAGCCTATAATTAAGAAAGAAATAAAAACACTCGAAGATTACACCTCAGGTATACAGATATACAGGTATTAAGGTATTATGTCTAGAACTGCAAAAGCAAACGATCGGGTTGTCCAAGAGACGCATGGTCTAAACATGGTAGTTGTGAGTTCGTTCGGGCACGAAAAAGTCATATGCTCTGGTAAATGTGAAAATAATGATTTCTTATTATCTGGAGGAACAGTTTTTATATGCATGTTCTTTCGGGACGTCGATGATCATGGCTTTTAATAGTGTAATCTCCTTTGTTTCATTTGAAACTTTACCATCTCTTTGCTCTTGCGCCTCTATTCATTCACGCTTATTTTTATACAATTTAAAAATATGTTTCAGCTTAAATTATCCAGAAATGGTTTGATAAGCCGTAAATCAAATTACTCTATCAACCAATCAAAACCATTAAGTCGCATATTTTTCGACCCCAAAATTCGTTTTCCATTGAACTCGTGACCCTTGATAAACCACGTGACGGCTTCTGCTATTTTGCGGTTTATTTCCAACGTCTCTGAGATTATCAGCTACTTCACTATCACTGAATCAAACCACTTTTATTGAGTCGCCCTCATAGCTGAGATACACCAACAGAAAAAAGAAAACAGAATGGCATAAAACGTTCGCCTTTATTCAATAAACCGTGACTCCAAGATTTTCACAGTAAACATTTCAAAATAGAATTTTTTTCGCTAATAATTTAAAAATGTACATTATACAAACACGATGAAATTTTTAAAAGCATATTGAATTCAAAAAGGTATATTAAATTAAACAAAATAAATTCTTACTGCGTCCCAATAAGAAAAATCTGGAGGTCATCGATAATAATTTCTAGGAGAATACTCTGTGAAGAAACGGTTGATAGACCAAGTTTGATTGACTGATTGATTTTTTACGGTTTACCAACCTTTTCATGTTATTTAAAGTCAGAAAATATTTTTTGAATGTAAAAAATAATGGGGAGATAATTATTATTTGCTGATACAAATTCTACTAATTAAGCTGGAGGGAGAAGATTTCCCAAAGATTTTTGCGCGTAACGGAATATAATGAACCCGACTGGAATTTGAAATCAGCTCTCCGACTTCCAATATCGAATCATTATCCATTACACCACCCGCACATCCATGTTTACAACATTTGTATTCCCAAACGATCGCCCATCTGGGTACTGACCATTCTCGACGTTGCTTAACTTCGGCGATCGTACGAGAACCGGAGTTTAAATGTGATATGGCTGTAAGCCGACCAAGATTGACTAGAGAATCTATTTACCATATTCGCTATGAAGTTTCCTTGTTTTCTGTGAGGCGAGGCGAAAGGTTAGGTCACTTTTTGTTAGGCTGGTTCTCGTTGTTCGCGAGTTTGGGTTGCGAAGAGAATGCCAAGACAAAAACGATTAACAGCAGACAGAAGTAAAGGACGTAAACAGGAATCATTGCGTGAAGTCTTTCCCAACTCAGCTTTCGGATGTCCATGCTGCAGCGAAAGAATTGCGTCATTGAATTCACCTGGAGAAAAAGAGAGAGAACAAAATCGTCACTGATTAATATGAGAAAGAATAAAAGAACTTTAATGAGTAAATGATGCGCAGTTGATAGCGGCTCAGAATGAGAACTTGGAGAGAAGAGTTCGAATTCCAGTCGGTTTCGTTGTATACATTTACGCGCAAATACCCTTGGGAAAGGTAGGAATCACCTCTTCTTCACTTCCCCAACTCGGGGTTAACAGCTCTGGGTTAAAATGCTATAAAAATACAAGTGATCTCCCCTTGGTTGATAAGCCCCGCTGAGGGAGATGGGTTCATTTATCTGATAATAATGGGTAAGACATAAATTTAGACGCCAGATATAATTTAGACGCCAAAGCGGAAGTGAACTGAACGGACGTGTTTTAGCCTACTCCAAGAAAAGTCGATGCTGGCTACGAGCAAACCTGAATAATGCGAGGACAAGTTTTCACAGTTAAGTGAAATTAATCCGCACACGTGGTGTCCCAAAATAAAAAAAAAATTTTTGCCTTCACAGTTCAATAAAATTAATTCGGTCACGCGGTGGCCATGTATATATATATATATATATATATATATATATATATATATATATATATACAGACATGACAGAATTGAATAGACACCAAGATAAATTTTATTTCTGATTTTTTTTAATAACCAAGATAAATTAACTTAGATTATTTAATTAAAATTGCAGATAACAATACTGGAACATGCGACGAACCAAAGGACGTATCATGGGCCAACATAAAGGTGGTCTTAGTCAAAGAAAAATATCTGAAAATCTTTCAATACCCCTTTCTACTGTTAATAGAGTGATCGTACAATTCACCAGAGAGGGCAAGAAGCGCACAAAACCTCATCCAAGCCGCCCTGGGCCCTCTGAAAGAACCACGCGTCTTGTCGAAAGAAATGTTGAACAGGATCCACGTTACAAGGCCTCTGACATAGCAACACAAGTTGATGTCAGTCCCAGAACAGCTGTCAGGTATCTTCACAAGCTAGGCTACTATGGCAGAGCTGCGAGAAGGAAACCACTTCTCCGTCCAGCCAATATCAAACGCAGAAAGAATTGGGCTCATGAGATGGTGGAGAGACCTGTGACCTTTTGGACCACTGTCATTTTCTCTGATGAGTCAAGATTCGCATTATTTTCCGACAGTGGAAGAGTATGGGTATGGAGACTCTGTAGTCAAGAGTTTGATTTAAAAAGACTGCAGCCAACGGTGAAACATGGGGGCCTTTCAGTAATGGTATGGGGTGCAATTTGGAGTGATGGTCGCTCAGAGCTTGTGGAGTGTAAAGGAAACCTTAATTCAACCAAATATATTTCTATATTAAAGAAAGGGCTCCTTCCAATATTCTCAAGTGGAGCTCCATGTCACACTGCTAAAGCAACGCAACATTGGTTGAGATAAAATGGGATCAATAAACTTCCATGGCCAAATCAGTCCCCGGATATTAACCCTATTGAACACCTTTGGGGCATATTAGATCGAAAACTCCGCAAAAAGAACAGGAAGCCATCTTCTAAGCCCGAACTTTTAGGATTACTGCGTCAAACATGGCAAGAAATCCATCAAGATGATATTCGTGAACTCATTGCTAGTATGCCTAGAAGGGTCCTTGCATTAAAAAAAGCAAAAGGGATGTCAACCAAGTATTAGTTATTAAATTTATGACCATTTATAATTACTTCATTTGTATAAATTACTTGTTTAAGAAAATAAACGGTTTCTGTGAGCATCTATTTAATTCCGTCATATATATATATATATATATATATATATATATATATATATATATTTTTGCCTTCACCGTTCAGTGAAGTTAATCCGGACACGTGGCGTTCAAAATATATATAAAATTTTTGCCTTTCTTCACCGTTCTGTGAAATAAATATATGATGGTGTCCAAAATATAATTAAAAAATAATTTAATTTATTGTCTATCTCAAGAAGTACAAGGAATTAAAAGGAGTAAAAGCCCTTATATACTCTAAGAACATTTTAAAACATAATATTAATTTAAGTTTGCTGGAGCAAGATAAGAACTTAAAGGAAAAATAAAATGGAAGAAGGTATCATCAAAAATCTTCTGGGAGAAATTCGAGCTTTGGAGAGTAAAATCCAGGAAATTTATAGCAAAGCCAACCTGGATATAAAGGAAAGTGGTTTTGTGACTGGACTAAGGAATGAATTTAGTTTTCGATTCAACGTCTGTAATCGATTTGCTATTATTGAGGAATTTGTTCAAAAAACGAGTATTTTCCCGGGCAACGAAGCCAGTTCCTTATCCCACAGCCATTCAATGATCGCAACTCCCAAATTGTAGTCTGCTACTCTTATCGGTATTAATCCTTCTAAGCTTGAGTTTAAGAATTTTATAGCACAATTTAACAACTGTACTAACTCCACCAATTCTAACAAAGCAAAACTAACCCTCTTAAAGAGTCTTCTTACTGGCTATGCATTTCAACTAATATCACATCTTACCTTGTAAGTTGACAATTACAAAGTAGAAGTAAGTCTGTTAATGAAACAACTTTTGGGTGTATCTTTTATAATTCATGAGATCTTCAAACAAATCATAACCAGTTCTCCTAAATATGGCCCTGATTTTGTGACTGTTAAACAATTTCTTGTCGAAGTGAGGGCTGATTTGTCCGAGTTAAGAATTTCGTATGGAATGGTTTTTTTGAGGAAGATTCCCCTGGATTCAAACATATAAGCTACATCATATTTGATAAACTACCCATAATTTAAAGTGGGAAATCGTTCACAGGGTATGTAGCAGATACCCTTCCTTAAGGGATGTATTTGAGAATTATAATGAAGTTATCCGCACACTGACGAAGAATAAGAGGCCCTTCCGTGTATATGGGAAAGATACTAAAACTAATAAATTTAATGAAAAGGAAAATAATGGTGCGGTATTACTAGATTTTGCCATCAGCTCTAATGAGACACAAAGTAAATTTTGTGCTTCACGTGGTCACCCCATGAGGAAGTGTACGAAATATGTTACCTCTGAGTCTAGAGTGGCGAGAAGCAGATATTTTAGGTTATGAATTAGATTTTCCAGTGGCAAACATAAAAATGAAGATTGCCCTGAACTTCAGAATAAATTGTTCTGTTTCTGTAAACAATGTTCTTCAAAGGGACATATAACACCACTGTGTGATAGTCGTAAGAAAATGATCTTTCTTTTTACTCACGTGGGCACTATGAGGAAAACAATTTAATGTTACCTATAGCGGAAGTCACGTCATGTTTGGGGTGCTAAGAAAGTCCCTATAAACTGCTTATTGGACACAGGTCGCCAGCGGTCGTATTTCTCTAATGGAATATTAAAGAAGTTAAAATGTCCTAACTGGAGGCTAAATCCTGTCGATTTCCAAGTAAAAACATATCTAGGGGGTTTCCAATAAGAGATTACACTGAGTCCTGCTGGCGGTAAATTTGGGCAAAGAGAGATTACCTCCTATTCCTGTTTTGTTAGATAACAAATTTAATATTCAAGTTCGATAACTTCAGTAAAGTGATAACCAATTTAATTAAATTACAAATTAACTTTTTGTCATAATAATGATAGTAATCAAATAAACATTCAAGGCATTCTAGGAGTGGACATTTTCCAACATATGGAAAATACCAAAATTGTTAAATGTATGAATGGTTTCATGTAGAAAATGCCGAATGGAATTGTCCCTTTTGGGAACAGTCTAAATTTTCTATATAAACATCAAATTACGCCAGCAGGACTTAAGGCTTCTGATGATTAAGACAACTACCATACTATAATTTCTGAATGTTCTTTGTGTCCTGAACAGCAAGTAAAATTCGTATTGGAACCAAGGTCCACCTACATTGAAACATTCCCAGAAGCTGTCAAATTATCTAACGCCAAAAGGAACTTAGAAAAAATGTTTTCTGTGGATTCATGTGAATCATTCTTCGATGAAGGTGAACATATCAGTGATTATGACAAAAACAAAATAAATTCAAAAAACAATAGAGTTCAAAGACAATTGATATTTTATGGAATTACTCTGTCATGAAGACAGGATCAAATCAGTGCCATATAATCATCAAGTTGCTATGAAAGTGCTTGATAAAGCTATGCATTCCTTAGAAAGAAAAAAAATTATCCACTGTTTACAACAATATATTTCACCAACAAGAAACTGAAGGGATTATAGAAAGAATTGAAGTCTCACCACAAGACTTTTCAAAATATATTTGGATTCCTCACAAACCGTTTTTCAAATCCTATGAACAAGTAACTATAAAGTCTAAACCTCGCAATACGTCTGAAATATTACTATTAACACCCAATGTCTTTTTACATCTTAATGTTAATGAAGAAATTTCGATGAAAACTGATTCTGGTGGATCTCTTGAAATGGAACCTACTTCCAGGTGTCAGTTATTAGATGCTCTCACTGAAAGGGAGAAATTGTTAACTTCAAAGAATTATAGAATGAAGAATATCCCTTGAGTCTAAGAAAAAGCTGCAAGGATCTACATGATGTGGATTTTAGTAATAAAATATAAGTAGACAATATAATATTAATTAAAAATTCCATAAAAGCAAGACCATTTTGGAAACTTGGCAGGCTGACTGAACTTTTCTGTGGAAATTATGGAAATGTGTGTTCCGTACGCATAGCTAGAGGGGATGCATCTTATGGGTATCATAACATACAACATCTATTTTCAATGGAACTTTTCTTGACACATATTGCACAATACAGTCCTGGGTAAAACATTAAACTACATCAATTTAATGGTCACTTAAGAGAAATCCAGTCTTGGGTAAGATTTAAACGGCATCTATTCATACATCAATGGTCTGTTAGGACTGATTCAGTCGTGGGTAAAACTTTAAACTGCATCTATTGATACATCTATCCAGTCCTGGGTAAGACATTAAACTACATCCATTTCTCAATGGTCATTTATGACCACTCTAGACCTGGTTAAGACTTTAATCTAAATCCGGTGACGAGAGACCGCTTGCAGGACTTGGGGAGTGTGAAGTCACCCCTTGGTTGTCATTACTCCCAGGTCCACTCTAACCTGGAGTGGTAGTACTTGTTAGGGTTGTCATTGATAAGACATTAAACTGTTTACATGCAATCCATTGGAAAATCCAATGCACACTGGAATTTTTTCACAGAACTGTATTTATCATTATGGCTGAAGATTACCAATATTTAAAGAAATGATCCAACAAGATGAATAGATAACATGAACAGATTACGGCCAAAATAATAATTCCGGCTGAAGAAAGAACTTCTCAAAAGAAGCACCAACCAAAATTCTTCAAACTACCCATGTTTAAATATTTTGTCTTGAAGACAAATTACCTTTGAACTTTAGATCTGCCTCATGATGACAAATTTTCATAGAAAAATTATATGATTCAATTAAAGTAACCACAAAGGAATCCATTTTTAATCATGCAGACAATCATAAAAACTTAAATGGAGTCCAACACAAACTATACAATGAATAAATAATAAAATGTAGTGTCATGAAAATAAATACAAATGACAAAAGAAATACTAATGTCATTTTAATTGATATAACTAATACTTGAAATACCTTAACAAGGATAAAATATTACATTTATTGTTTAATAAAATTTTATCGTGTACATATAGCACATAACGTAAAAGTCTAAACCTTAGCCACTAAAAAGAGCATAATTTGAATTGATTTAAAAAATTTACAAGTGTCTAAAAAACGGGGGGAGACACTTATACATACATTCACTAGTAATCGGCCATATGATAGTCTTGTTATTGATATCACACGTCCAGTGAAGTTATTCTTAATGAATAATTCTAAAAAAGTTAATTGTCAAGTAAACACCAAACTATCGTGTTTAACATATTGAGGGTAACGATTTCCGTTTTTTTATACTGATCTGTTGAATTTGTGGAAATGCGTGTTGTATTAATAAAGAATTGATTTTACGTTTATATACCAAATATTTTATTAATAAAAGAAATGCTTATTGAAATTCTTATTCTATGAATACAAGAACTGACTTCATCGTCATATACCAAATGTTTTATTAATAACAGAAATGCTTATTAAAATTCTTATTGTATGAATACAAGAACTGACTTCATTGTCATATACCAAATATTGTATTAATAAAGGAAATGCTTATTGAAATGCTTATTGTATGAATACAAGAACTGACTTCATCGTCATATACCAAATATTGTATTAATAAAAGAAATGCTTATTGTATGAATACAAGAACTGACTTCATTGTCATATACTAAATATTGTATTAATAAAAGAAATGCTTATTGAAATGCTTATTGCATGAATAAAAGAACTGACTTCATCGTCGTATACCAAATATTGTATTTGATGTTTTTGACTAGTAAATTTAACAAAATATGGCAAAAACAATCATAAATATGAATGCTGGTCGTTATTTTAAGAAGTAAGGGGGTACAAATGAAAAGATTTGGAATTGACAACTTTTCCATTTCGCCGAAACAGACGTTAAACGTCTATATTCCCTTTTTTATTTTCATTTTCTTACCGAAACCAAGTAGCGTCTTTGATATGCATTTTGTCTTCTCACGTAAACAAAACGGAATCGTCCATTATTTATGAGGTATTAGCAGAAGACGTTAAGCACTTTTATCTTTCTTTCTTCTTTTCTATTTTTCACTGAAATCAAGTAACATCTTTGATATATCTTTTGTCTTTCTACGTGATCAAAACGGAATAGTCCATTATTTATGAGGCATTGGCAGAGCATAACGGTCGTGCGAACTACCGAAGGGAAGGACAAGCACAATTATTATATGATGCTGCCATTTATTCTATTGATACGAGTTATGTTAGTTTATTTGTATATTTTCGCTTTTAATTATTTAAAAAGGAGAACACTTTTTTATGTGTTACTATAGAGTTAACTGTATAAATAAAATCCTAGACTACGCATTCAAGAAATTTTGTCAAAGCAAATACAAACTTACTTAACCATGACGTAAATATATGGGTAGATTAGTAAGTACAGCCAATCCTCATTTAACGACATATCTGTTTAACGATCCCGGATATACGACCAACTATAGAATCTCATATAATAAAAAATGAAATATACAATTCAACCAGTAATTACTTTATCTTCAAAATGAATTTAAATAAAGTGAAAAATAAATAAAATTTTACTTGCGAAACCGAATGTACAGAATATGGAATTGATTTTCAAATTTGTTTATTACGTTTACTTTGCACGACAATTTTTTTTTTTTTTGTATAAACAGAAATAAAATAGAAATATTGTATAAATGGAGCAAACGTGACATTAAGGTTATTTGAAGTTTGTTGGCACAAGCTCATTGACACATCGCATTGAAAGACCGGTTCCCGTACGATCCCCGAAGTTAAGCAGCGTTGCATCTAGTCAGTACTTAGATGGGTGACCGCTTGATAATACCAAGTGATGTAAGCTTGGATGTGCGGCTGGTGTAATTTATAACGGCTAAGAATTGTTAATCGGAGAACTAAATTCCAATTTCAATTGGGTTCGTCAGTATCTTTGGGGACGGTATGAATCCACCTCTTCTCCCCCACCTATGGGTTAATTATTAAAACTTGTATCCATAAATCATTATTATCTCCCCCCTCAAAACAATTCTTACAATCTATTAATATTTTCTGCCTTTAACTAACTTACAAAGGGTTGATAAGCCGTAAAAAATCAATCAGTAAAACAAATCCATTACACGTGTACAATGCCTGAAAAAAAATAATTGGCAAGCTGGTATCGGAGATCATCAATACAGATCAGTGAATTCTATCTACAGTGGGTGTTCCATACTTGCGGCCTTGTGTTAAAACTAAACAACTGCATATTTATTGAATCATGTCAAGGTTAATCAAATGCTCATTCACTAACCCCTCTTTTATTGTGACATGTTAGTGATGAGACTTTTTATTAAGACAGACGCAACGGTACAATATGTAAGCAGTAGCATCTTCAGCCAAGATTCGAACTCTCTGGAATTGGGACTGAGAGTAGTGATGGCACATACTCTGAATCAATTATTAAAAAATTCAAAATAAAGAATTATTAAATTCTAAACACATCAAATACCTCTGTGTATGGATCAGAATAAGAGATAAGGAAATTGAACACAGGACTGTTTAGTCTCAAAGTAATTTTGTCCAACACCAGAAAGGCACTTTAAAATATTGTCCCGAAAATGGAAGTTATATTCTTAATCTTGCGTTACTTTACATGGGATGTTTTGTTACCCAAAATTGGTTTAAGTATTCATAATTCCTAGCTGTCAATTTGTTTCTTTTGCTCCCTTCCGCTATTCTACTGTGTGGATGTATAGCACGTGATGTGGGGTAGTTGTAGCAGAGTTGGTGTGGGAGGCAGTCGTCGCTTTGTCTTCTTCGAAGTGCCTTGCCACCCCACTTGACTAACGAAGGTAAATTTTCATGATTTATATATATTCACGGCGCTTGACTCTACATTTAAATAATAACTCTAACATTTTTAGATATTTAAAATAACATGCCTGCCCGCGTACTCAATTCCGAAAAATCCTTGTTGAAAACACAACTATACTTAAACATGAAAACAATAAACAAAAATTAAAAATTCTTGAAGCTTTATACATAAAACAGTTGAAACCTAACCTAAACAAAATAAACTAATAAATCTCCACAAATACCCTCAAATACCTATAATTTCTAACAGAAGCCATTGGTTTATACCAACGGCTTCCCATACTTAATACTTCTCGTTTTTCACTCTCGCGTGGTCATGTGTGATGTCACGAGCTGCGACGCGATTTTCGCTTCCGCGTCTCGTATATACGAGTTTGTCGTTACTTGGAAATTTTCATGCAGCAAGGGCGGACTATCATAGTTGTTTCGTCCGTGTGTTGTTTGATTTATTGAAATTGTCATCTTTGATAATGGCTTGTGTAAGCCGAAAGCTTAGATTGGATTTAACATGTATCAATATGGTGTTTTCCTTTCGTCTTTCAACGATAATGTGATTAAGCTTATCAGACAATATGAAAGGAACTAGCAGCATGGCCCGGCGTTGCCCGTGCTTGATTCAAAAATCGTACGACATACAGCAATCGCTATCACTTGACTTAAAATATTTTTGCCCTTCCTTGCCTTTAAAGGAGTGCCCTTTGCTATGCTGATGTTGCTACATGCCTTACTTCTTGCCTATCTCACACTGCGAATTTTTTCTAAGCTCTATACTAAACATTAAATCTGTTACGAAAAAAGAACTAAACAAAATGAACACAAAACAATCAGCTTTAAAAAGGACTTGTAACTGGAAAAACCGAATGAAAAAAAAAATGTTAACAACAAATACTTTTTCACACCCAACCCAGTTCTGCGGAATCAGAATCAACGTTGAGTTTAAGCAAGCAAATGAGCCAATTGGAGTAAAGTGCCATGCAGATTTAAATTTTTCCCACTTGTGACGAATGCAGCTATCGATTTTTTTGCATGCTAGCATGCTAGTTAACATTCGTGTCAGTCAGCTGTTGGCTCTCACGCTGGCCAATAGAATCTTTATGCCTATTCGTGGCAGCCAGCTATAGGCTCTCACTCTGGCCAGTAGAAAATGACCGCAAACTAAATGAAAACTGCCGTAGAAGCATGAAAAAAAATCGATTATTTCCACTATCGATGGGAGTTGGGAAATGCTAAGTCGGTCTTGGCCTTCCCGCTAACTTGGAGCATGTGCATGTAAACTTTGGTGCAAATCCGTCAAAAATTGCGGCCGTGCATTCGTTACACACACACACACGCACACACACACACACATCCTGCCTTTTATAGATAGAGATAAATAGACAAAACTTGTCTATATTATTTAATGAAACATGCATTAATGAAAAATTGCTGCCTAAATATACACAATATACACATACATACATACATATATATATATATATATATATATATATATATATATATATATATTCTGTTTATACGTTATTTTTATAGATATAGATATTTAAGTAAATGCTCTGTTTATAATAAACAATATTAACTACATTTACCGGTTTGAATATCCGAGAATTTTCATAGAAAATATGTGTCCTCCGACAGGAATCGAGCCTGTATCCTACGCAGAATCGTCATTTAGCCTGACATGCTATAACAGGGGAAGCGTCTGGTTAACAATGTCAAATTACTCTTTTTTTACTGTTTACAGCAACAACACAAATGGTTAGCACACGTAAACTAGAAAAGAAAACAGTTACATAATTACATGTAAAATAATTATATAATCCAGATGTTAACTATCTACACTACTAAAACTAAAAGTTTGCACGGAAACTTTCTTCAGCACTAGAATGCGCGATAAGTGGGTGAAGTTGAGAGGTCTAATTTTCTGAAAAAAATGTTTTAAGAGAAAGATTTTATAAATCTCAATCAAGATTAACGCCAACTGTTCGGCCAATGAATGCCGAATGTTTTCTTATAAGGAAGCGGCTAATAACACTATTATCATTACTATTAACCGTTTTTTGTGTTGTTCCTTTTTATGTCCTTCCATACATAGCATTGTATACTTGAAATTAAATATCTATATTGAGTATCTATTTAGGAAATCTTCAGAGACATAAAAAGAAGATAGTGATTGCAATTTGTACAAAGATGAAATAAGCAAATCTTACCTGCAGCGGACAAGGTATTCGTTTTGAAGTTCAAAGTTCTTCTTTCCACGTCAGAAACACAGGTTGAAAAAGAAATATTCAGAGATCTATATTTCGCTCAAGTTGCGTAAAACCGATTTAAGAATCAAAGTTCTCGATATTTTAGAATTGATTCTCCTGAAAACAAATTTAAGAACGGTAGTTCATTTTGGAGGAGCATTAAGCTTGGTAGTCTCAAGATGAACTCAGCTTGATCAGTATTTGATTTCAGTGTTATTTTTAATGAGACAAGAGAGAAACAAGGATTAATTTTAGATTGATTTATAAATTAGTAAAGGGAACTCTCTAGGAATTCATCAGTTTGTATTTTCCCTTGGTTTGATTTGACTTATTGGTGCCAGACACAGTCTTGTATTATCTTGTAGCTTCAAAGAACGATTATAAGTATTCAAATTACGATGAGCGCCTGAAAAACTGAGTTGGGAAGAAATGAAACATTGTCGTTTAATATACTCTTTTCAAAATAACTAGAAAGAGATTTTAGAAGTCTTATTAGACAGACGACAATCGATTTTATCTGCTGTCGGGATTACATTGTAATGAACAAAACTGATGAAGCGAATATATTAAAATGTTTTATATATATATATATATGTGTGTGTGTGTGTGTGTGTGTGTGTGTGTGTGTGTGTGTGTGTGTGTGCACATTAGCATGAGGCCCACAAATCAAGCCCGAAAACGATGAGCACAGCTATTACGGTTGAGATTTTCGACAGAGATAATGACATCACCTTTAATTGACAAAATCCCTATCAGTTGTTAATGAAGGATAATTCCATATTTATAGCTTTTATTTTAGGACACCATCTGTTTATCTTTTTTAGTTTCACTAATAACCAAGTCGTAGTCAATCGGCTTTTAACATGAACAGAAACTAACCCAGATGTAAACACAAGGAAGCTGCCGCCCAATTCGACAGAGAATTTGATTTTTGCTAACTACACGCCATGATGTTCCTGTTAAGAAGTTTCTATAAAAAAAATGCCAATTCCTTAGAAAGGCACATGACATCTAGAGATAAACAAAATGTGTGTGTGTGCAGTTGATGGGGGGACAGGACGCCACTGTGTGTATATGCTTGATCTCAGTTTAATTCAAATATTTACAATGAGAATAAGAAACGATGTCTGAAGACTTCTATAAATTCACGGAACAAATTTTGACAATATCAGGATTCTTAATCTCACATAGACACACACACTTTCTCTCTCTCTCTCTCTCTCTCTCTCTCTCTCTATATATATATATATATATATATATATATATATATATATATATATATATATATATATATATTTATACGTTATTTTATACGTTATTTTTATAGATACAAATATTTAAGTAACTGCTATGTTTATAATAAGCAGTATTAACAACATCATTTACCGGCCTGAATGTCCAAGAAATTTTATAGAAAATATGTCCTCCGACAGGAACTGAATCTGTATCCTATTCGGAACCGTCATATAGACTGACGTGCTATACCATTTAGCTACAGAGGAAGCTTCTCGTAAGGAATGTCAAATTACTGCTTTTAAACTACTGTTTTTAAACAACAAATTTCCCATTATTTTTTTCGAACGCTCATATCTGCTCGAAGCGTATCTTAACGTAAACAAATGACATCGTATATTATGAAATGGACTACAAAAGTTCGACAACTATTTTAATATATTTTCTGTTTATATGTTATTTAATCAGATAGAATTTATTTAAGGAAATAATCTATTTTTATTTTTTTT